GCTAAGCTGGGCAGCTCACCTTGGCCGCGCCAGACGACAGGTGCCTGACGTCAGAGCCGGCCAGCGAACTGTGCAACGCCTTGCCGGCTAACGGGAGCGCGGTTAATGTCAACAGCAACGAGTTGCATTTGAGCTTTGCATTGCAAATTCAATTTGAATTTGGCGCGCTTCAGCATCGCTGCCGGAGTGGCGCCATCTGTCGCTGGCGGCTGTGAGCTTGAGCATAGCTTTGGACTGGAAGCTGTGCACAGCTTCCGGCTTCCAATGAAAGCTTTTTGGCGCTTCACAAACGTTTCATGCCATTGCATACCGGCGACAGATGACGCTGCATAACAGACAAAAGCCAAGTAGAGAGAGAGAGAGAGAGAGAGTGAGGGAGACAGGGCGTGAGAGTGGGTGAGAGCGCAATAATAACAGAGATGCGACCGCTAAGGCATAAACAGCGAGCGAAAGCTAACGGTGGTCAAGCGAAACACTGGAATCGGCACACAGCACGTGCGAAGGCGTCGGCATCGGCGTCTGCGTCGGCATTGGCAACGCTCTCCCGACCCGAAAGTCAAAAGCTTTTTTCATTGAGAAAACGCAAAGGCCCCACACGGACGCTCGCTCGTCCTGCCGCGGCGACGAAGGCCAAAACTTGATAGCTTCGAATGGAAGGCTGCGCCAGCTGACAGCCGACAGGCGACAGGCAATACGGCTTACTTCCAGCGGCTCTGTTCGGCGATGCGGCGTCGGCTCAGCTGTGGTGCTGCTCTCCGCACAGTTGTTGTCGTGTGCAGCATCAACAACAGCAGCAGCAGCAGCAGCAGCAGCAGCAGCAGCGGTGGAACGAATGGAACAAAGTGGAACGAGCGAAAGTAAAGCTCGGGCCCCGTGATGTTTAGTTGCGCGCCGCCAGCAGCCGACAGCAGATGCCGAGACGAGCAAGAGCAGCGAAACTCGAGAAACGGAAGACGCCAAGCGAGCAACGGGAAACGAGAAACAGTTGCCGAAACAGAAACCGAAACAGTAACCGAAACCGAGACCGAAACTGAAACTGAAACCGAAACCGAGACGCTGACGAGGACAAAGTGCGAGTCCGTCAAACGATAACTGTAAACCGCAAAAAGCAAACGAACAAGCGTAAGAAGCAGAAAAGGCACAAGCACAAGAAGAAGAACAGTAAGCAGCAGCAGCAGCAATAGCAGCAGCAGCAGCAGCAGAACAAAAAGTGCGTCGTGTTTCAGTTCCATTTCGTAACGGCTGCCATTTCGTTGCGCGCAAACAACAAAAAGAGCGAAAGCAAAGCAAACACAAAGCCGCGGGCAACAAAACCAGCAGCAGCAGCCACAAAAAGAAAATTCAAAAATATATTCGCAAAAAGAATTAATAGAAAAGTATTAGAATAGCTAAAAATCTAATTGATAGTAATAATAAAAATAAAATTATAATCGAAAATATATATATAAATATACAAATATCTGTATGCACACACAGCTCGCGTGTGTTTCGAAAGTGCAAAGGAATTTTCTAGTTTTTTTTTTTTATCATTTTTTTATTGCAAAATTAGTAAACTTGTTTTTTTGTCAGTGAAAATGAGTGCAAAGTGCAAATGCAAAAAAATTGTGTGAAATAAAAAAAGAAATAAATAAATAAAATATCAAGTGCAAAAGTAAACGAAATTCACCTTGACATAAACTGAATTTAAATATATAAATATATCACATATCTCTCTGTATATACATATACATCTAAATACTTGGTCAAAGTTGTTGTTGTTGTTGTGCGAATGCGTGTATGTATGAGCGTGCGTATGTGTGTGCGTGTGAATGAATTGTGGCATGCCAAACATTTCAATAATCAAAGCAAATCGAAAGCAAATGCAATTTATTTATAAACAACAATAGAGAACAAGTGGTTCGTTAAATGCAAAATGTTGTAGCACAGCATAAATATAACATATTGTTAGGCACACACACACACACACATATATATATATACATATATATAAATAAATATACATATATATACATATATAATGAGACTCAACCAATGGCCAAACAGCTGAGCCACAGGCAACACACACACACACACACACACACACACACACACAGTGTTCCTCTGCCTTGGCCTCTGATGTTACAATTGTTGTTGTTGTTGTTTCTTCAAGCACACACACCTGCGCGACAACAACAACAACGACAACAACGACAGCGACAACAACAGCGCCAGCGGCGCCTTCATAAGCAACGGTTTTTTCGAGCATATCCTTCTTAAGGACGTTCCAAAGGCAATTTTCTGGCTGCAGCAGCCGCTATCTGTGTGTGTGTGTGTGTGTGTGCCACACTCTCTGCTTGCCTGTGTGCTCAATCCCACACACAATCTACCTCTCTCCCTATCTCTCACTCTCACTCATGCTCCCTCTCTCTTTCTCGCTCTCGCTCTCTCCCACTCGCCCATAACGAGACGAAAATGAATTGCTAGAAAAAAAAAATAGGCGAAAAAGAAAGAAGCAGCAGAAGAAAATAAGAAAAGGAAACCCCAAAAATGTTGTGAAAATCGCTGAAATCGAAAACCGCTTAAAAGAGCGCGCGTCAATCTAATAATTGGAAATCTGATTAAAATCAAATGACAGGACTCAAGGATAAGCGTGCCGCAGCGCAAAAGCTTTCAATAGATAAACTTTTACACTGTGCTCCATTTGTATGAATCTGTTTATCTTGATTGGATGGCCAGCGCTACAGTGCATACTCGCTGGAATGGAAATCCATTTCACTAAATGCGGAGTTTTCTCAAGCTCCCTCCCAGTTCATAAACTCTCCATTATTTCCAATTAGTGAATTTTGTCATATTCCTCCACTACATTAGTCAACCTTGACTCTAGGAGCAGCCAATACGAAAGGCTGTTACCAATTTATAGCCTCTGCTTTCTTGTCAACATGCGTTAGTCTTAGTGGATATCCACTGTACTTGTGTGTTTCGCTTGGGCGAATGGATTTAAAATTTGTGTTGATTTTTGTGTAGGATTTTCTCAGATTTGTATAGAACAAGTCCGAAATAGCCAGAAAAGACAAAGAAGCAAAAGCGCTGAATGGAATGAGAGTGTGCGAGAGACAGAGAGAGAGAGAGAGAGAGAGAGAGAGAGAGAGAGAGGGGGGGACATTTCAAGTATGATTTCTAAATTGATGTCGCCTTATCCTCATTGTGATTCCGTTTCTTATTTATGCTGCCTTTTTAGCTGATTTCAAGAAGTGCGACCGACTCTACGACTATCTTAATTCATTCTTAAGCCCTAAAAGCCCTAGCAACCTATAAATGAAGCTCTTAAAGTGTTCTAGTTTATTGTCATAAAGTTGAGCGTAATTGGAATAAATGCTGAATTCTATGTGATATTATCTCAAGATATACTTGTATATGTACTATAGATACGATTGCATATGTATTATATTATACTTTGCATATATGTATCTACCGGCTCATTCGTGGATATTTGAATAGAAATAGTGTGCAGTAGAAGCTTTTCTCAGTTTGGACTAGCTATATTTCTCAATTTCGTTTAGAAAATACCTGCCGAAACGCAACAGAGCCCAATTTGGTTTTATATTAAGAATAATAATGCTGAGTCTAGGAAAATAAAATGGTTGGACTGTAGTTGAATGCTAAAGCAAATGTTCAGCATGAGTAGATAACCTAAATGGTGCGCTCGTCGTTGATCCTTCGTAAGAATTATACTTGACCTCTATAATTATTCCACTGCAGAAATGATGACCTGCATTACTAAAAGTTTAGTTTTTCTGTTTTTTCTATAAAATTATACAAATTTGCTTTTAATATAATTAATCATTTAAAAAATATAAAGAAACAAAAAATCATTATTTATTATTGGCAATTGTTATAGACAATCTGAGGCATATATTATGGAATATCTAGCATGTCAATTCATATATTATATCTACATATCTACATTATATCTATTATATCTATAGCACATATGAATGCAACTAGCCAGGGCTTCTAACTCTCCAGTTCACTTGTCTAAGATCACTTAAATATCTAACCTATAAATGTGATTCTACAATTGCAATTATGTTTTCTTTTCTAACAATATTCTCTGTTCATTTGTTGGAACTACAAAATCTGTAGTTTAAAACATATTACAATATGTATAGTATAGTATAGTAAATATGTATTCCGTTGTAGCATTCTATATTGACGTTAAAGTCTACATTACCCGTCTTACTTTTATCTCATATATTTAAAATATTTTTCTAAATTACTTAAATGATCATATATCATGCTCTTCCTGCTCTCGCTTTCATTGTGCTTTTGACGTTCTTCGACTTTTCCTTTTCGTGCAGAAGAGTTTTACTTTGATTGAACGATTTAATTTCATCGAGTCGATAGGGTGATTCTTTTTTTTTTTTTTTCTAGTTTAACATTTCATTTTCCATTCGATTTGCTGTTGCTGCTCTTCTTCTTCATCTTCTTCTTCTTCTTGTCGTTGTTGTTGCACACACACACACAACAACAACAAAAACTCGCTGTTGTTGACTATTGATTTGCTTCGACATTTAGCGAGCATTCAATTAAATAACATACTGACAGCTGCGCTCACAGACTCCCATGCACAGCAGCTGACCTTTGAACAATGCCACACACACACACACACATACACACATGTACGCATCTATATAGATATAGACACACTCAGGTGCATATTGAAGGATGACCTTATGCGTTAGTTCCAGCACTCACTCACTTCTTGCCACATTCATGAGTAAAGTTTCAGCTGTTGCGCTGCACACTCACACACACACACATCTACACACCTACTCAAACACACACACACATAGTCACTAATCGAAATTGATTAGCAGCTACGAAATGCAGTTAGTCAATCAATCCATCTGCGGCAACAATTGACAGCCTCAGCCAACTGGCAGCACTCGATTGCTGGCCAGCCGACAGCAGCCGAGTTTATAGGGGAATAATAGGGCAGGACTCTCTAATAACGTTAAGTAATTGAGCAGGAAACGATGGCAGCGGCAATGGCAACAGCAACATCTCTAGACGATTTGTATGTATTTTTAATTTGTTTTCAATTTGAGTTTATTGTTTGTTTTTCTTGAGTTTTCTATTGATTTTTATTGCGAGAAAAATTGAAACGGAATTCAGCTACAATTTTTAGTTTATGATTTTATAATTTTAAGTTTATTTCAATTAATTTTAATTTTCTGTTTCGATTTCAGTTTCTCACTCTAAAACATTTTATTGGAAAAAGTCTTGAAAGTCTCTTAAAAGAAATGCATGTGCCTTTGATTGTTTGACTTCGTACAGCACTTTTTTTGAAAGGGTCTTGGGGAAAGTAAGAAACATTGATTCGATAAATTGTTATCGATAATTGACTCTCTTAAAGTTTATCGTGACTTCAGAAGAATCTGGGTAAAACAGAAATTTCGTTTTACTTCTAGTCTCTATAGAGTTAGCATCGCATCTAAATATCGATACTTATATACTCATACTTCTTCTTATTAGACTTATTAGACTATCCCGAAATGGATGATTTATATTTCCATTCGTATCTGAATTTATATACAGTTAAGTCTCGTGATCGAAAATCACAATAAGTCGAACAAAATTCTATCCCCTTGAACGAAATTCGTTCTCGATAATTCTCGATGATTTGAATTTGAATTGCCATTTAGAATTATCAGGAATCGACTGTATTTTTTTTATATGTATATTTGACCCAATTTCATTGATTTTTATCTCCTCATCCCCTCTTAAATGTCCAACAACACTCGATAAAATGTATATTCTTTTTGATTCACCTTATGTATATCAGCAGATCGGAGAAATTCTTCAACTTAAAGTTTCTCTTGGTAGTTCTAAAGCTTTATCTCCGCATAAGATTTACCATAAATAGAAACATAAGCTTTAAGTCTTTATAGACTAGCTATTTTGTTGCATTTTCGTTTTGTATTTGGAACTTTCTGCATATCACGTATGGCTCCAATTAAGTCTTCATGGAAGTTATCATTGACTAAAATCTCATATAACACATATCGGTGCATCAACTAAACCTCAAATTTGAAGTACTTTAACTTTAAGTTCTTTGAATTGTATTGAATTCTTCAAGTAGTATCTAAATCTCTATATAGATATACATATATATATGACCTTTTACTTTCTCTGCTCACCTCTCCTCTTTTGAGCATCACTCATAGCTCAATTGGCTATTCAGTAAAAGTTACAATCTTTGTCGATTTCGCTTGCAATGTAAATTTCGATGCGAGAAACTGTTTTCATGAATGAGAATGACGCCGGAATATTTGAATAATTTGACTTGACTTGATGGAAATTGTAAACTAAAACTTGATTTCATATGCTGTCTAAATTGCTGCAAACCCGATTTAGCAGGAAAAGTTTGTTGTTGTTGCTGCTGTTTTATTTTTTTGTCGTTTGATTGAGGGAAGTGCCATAGGTTTCTGTTTTTTTCTAATGCTATTTTCTATTTAAATATGCAAATTTCTGTTTAGTTGCTGTGCGAATGGAAAATTCCATTATAGATGACAGTTGCTCGGATCTCGGTGTATCTATGTATGCGCGAATATACGCATATATATTTAAATATATATATGTATATGTGTGTGTGTGTATATTTAGATATATGTAGGTATGAACAATCTGACACTGTGCTAAAGGACGGAACGACCGAACGCCAACCGAACTCTGTGGCATAGGCCATAAAAACGCGTGACAGGACAAAAAGCAAGCAAGAGGCGTTAGACTGTGTGTGAGTGTGTGTGTGCGGCCGCTAGGGAGTTCACTTCTCTCTCCTTGCTACCTCCCTCTTCCCTACCCCCCCCCCCACCTCACCTTCATTTTCTCCTCCTCTCTTCATCTTCTTTTTGTTTCGGGCGCTTCTTTCAAGCGACAGCGCCGCGGCAAGGTGAAGTAGATGAAGTGAATGCTGCTCAACAAAAAGAAAAGAAAAAAAGAAGAAGAGGAGAAGAAGAAGAAGACGGAGAGGGAAACGAAATTCCAAATGCAGAAATGGAGACAAAGTGTAGAATGGACATCCGTTCCCCATGGGCGCAGACAGTGGCAGAGCGAGATGGGACGAGCAAGAACGCGAAGTGAGGGAGAGCTAGAGAGTGTGAGAGAGCGAGCGAGATGGAGAGGGCAAAGCTGCTGGTTGCAAAGGGATACAGTTGCAGGCAGCTAGAAATGCCGAAAGAAATAGCTGAGCAAAGAGTAAATGGAAACAAGGCAGCTGCTAAGCACTTCAAGCTTAAAAAATACCGTTAACAACAAGAATAACAACGCAGCAACGAGCGATTGTTTTGCTGCTGCTTAAAGATGCCACACTCACACACACACATATACACACGCACACGCGAACGTTTTTAGCTGCTTTTGGCTTGTGTGTATGTACAGACAGCAGCGAAGCAGCGTGCGAACAGCAATAGACGCCAATAAACGACGCTGCAAAAGCCAACGGCAGTGTGAAACGGTAAACGCGCACGCACACGCATGAACACACGCACACACATCCACACACAGGCCATGTGCGTTTGTCGTGTCCTTTCGCAGCGGTCGCTTGCGGTTGTATGCGTATATGCGTGTGCTGCATAAATCCGCCAACAAGTTTCCCATTGTGCATGGCCAGCCGCCACCTGGCCTGCCACTCCCACAACGGCCGCCCGTCGCCCACTCAGCAGCCATTTTGCCGTCGCTTTGTTGTGGCTGCTGTTCTAGCCTTACGCTCTCACGCGCGCGCTCTCTCTCTCTCTCACTCTCTCGCTCTCTCTCTCCTTCCGACTCCCACTCTCAGTCTCACTCTCCCAAAGCGCGCTTTGCAGCGTCGCGTGCACGAGAGCGAGAGCGAGGCAGAGCGAGAGTCAGCGTGAGAGTGAGCGTGCGAGCGAGCGAGCGAGCGAGAGCCTGCTTGTGCTTAGTTCGTTTCGTGAACGCCAGCAGCGCTGCTGGCACTGGCGCAGGCATGCATAGGCCTCTCTACTTGTATAATTGTGTGTGTGCTCATATACACATATAGCTGTGTATGTCTATGCGTGTGTGTGTCTGTGGGCCTTTTACAACGACTGTTAAGCGCTTACACGCTTCAATTTCTCGCACACATTTTCGCTGTATGCTTTGCGCTACACGTTTGTTGTCCCTTGTTGCCATTGCCTGCGTTTTCGCTACAGCGTTTTACCGTTTGCTGCTGCGACGCGGTGCTTCTTCTTTTCGCTGCCGCCGCCACCGCCGCCGCTGCTGCTCGTGCCACGCTTTGTCGTCGTGCGTCCTCGTCGTTTTGTTTGCTGTCGGTTTTTTCTTTCTTTTGCTTTTGCTTTTGTATTGCTGTGTTGTTTTCATTTTTTTTTTTCTTTCTTTGCTTTTTGTTGTTCACTAGGGGAAAAGAAGAAACGCGTTGGTGCCTCGGCCGTTCCTGCTGCTGCTTCCTCTTCTACTTCTGTTTTTCGCTGTGGTCCGCTTTGGGCATTTTTTTTTTCTTTATTACTGCTGCTACTGCTGTCGTTGTTGTTGCTGTTGTTGCTGCTGTTGTCGTCCTTTGCTGTTTGTTGTACGGTGCGTATGTTTCAATTCCATTTTGTTGCGTTTGCGTTCAGCGCACGTTTCAGTCGCAGTTGTCAGCGTTTATTGTATTTGTTTCATTTTTCTCTTTTTGTTGGTATTTCTTCTACATAATTTGATTGAATTGCTGTTGTTATACCTAGCAGCAGGAGAAGGTGTGTGCGTGCGTGTGAGTCTCTCTGTGTGTGTGTGTGCGTGTGAGTGTGCAATTTCAGTCAAATTATGGGACACATTTAACGTTGGTCAAACTGTAAGCCCAAGTGAACTAAAAATATAACAAATCTTAGCTCCTGAAAGCTACCAAAGCGCGGGAATATGAACAATAAATGATTAATAATCATTCCTGATTTATTATTATATAAATAGCCGTAGGAAAAGGAAACTTCCAATTAAAAATAAACTGGCAAAACCTATATGAAAATAGCATGCTTTTGCGGATATTTATAGCTGTCAGTGTGTGTGAGTGTGAGTGCGTGTGTGGTAGTGCTTGTGTTCTTGTTTCTGTGTGTCGTACCTGTGCGACAGTTATCTCCCTCTCTTACTGTGGCATTCCTTGCGCTGTGCTGTGGCCCCAAAAGGTTCAAGGTTGTCCAGTTCAGTGCATGAAATGGAGCAAACAGTCGCAACGACAGCAGCAACAACAACAACAACAACAACAGCAACATGAGCAAAGCGCGCCAAAAAGAACACCCCGAGCACGCCTACAAATTCAACCACTCAGAGGGCAGCCCCCTCCTCAGCCCCTTCCTGCCCCTCTGGTCAACTAGTAGCAAAGCAACTTCCAAATCAATTGCAATAATTAAACGGCAAATGAGAAAAAAACACGATAAAACCTAGAGAAAGAGAGAATAGGTGTGCAAGTGTGTGTGTGTGTGTGTGTGTGTGTGTGTGTTTGTGTTTGTGTTTGTGTTTGTATTTGTGTTTGTATTTGTGTTTGTGTGTGGCAAAGGGACAAGCACACGGAGTCGCTGCTGAAAATCAATAGGCAAAGGACATATGTATGTGTGCTGGCCCTCTCGCTCGCACCCACGCCAAGCGTCCCGCTCGAATTCGCACAGCAAACAACAACAACAACGTCAGAAAACAACAACAGCAACATCGTTGCGCCTATTTTTATAAAAAATGAAATAACTTCAAAACAACATATCTATATATATACATACATTTCTGTACATGTGTTTGTGTGTGTGTGAGAGTGAGTGTGTATGGAAGTGTGAGCTACGCCTAAAAGCGGAAATTAACATTTTCACTTGCTGTTTCCGGTTGCCACGACACGAAGCGACAGCACGACAGGACACGACCCAGCCTAGTTGTTGCCATATGTGTTTCAGTTCGCGCGCGCGCGAATATATATATATATATATATATATATGTATATACATAGATATATGTATATATATGTGATTTATTTACAATAGTCCAAAATCGACTAATTACAAAATCAATTTAAGCAGCTTTGGCCCAAAAACTGTAAATTAT